TGTGTGTTGAAATACTAACCCCCAAAGTAATGGTATTAAAAAGTAAGGACTTTGGGAAGAAATTAAGCCATGAAATTAAGCCATGAAAGGGATTGGGGCCCTCATGAGAAAAGACATGAGATCTGGCTCAGACTCTGCTTCCTGTCATGTGAGATGACAAGCAGGAGTCAGAAGACTACAAGGGAGGGGATTCTTAACAGAACCCAACTAGGCTGGTCTTTCCAGCCTCCAGAACTGTGAGAAATAAATATTTGTTGTTTATAAGTCACCCAGTCTATAGTTCTTTTTTATAGCAGCCCAAATTGACCAAGACAATATTATTTGGATTTTCACAGATTTTACCTAATGTTCTTTTTCTGTTCTAAGATTAATCCAGGATACCTTAATTATGCTTAGTTGTCATGTCTCCTTAGGCTCCTCTTAGTATAACACTTCCTCAGAACTTTCTTGTTTAGTAAAACGTTGACAATTTTGAAGAGCACCGGTCAGATATATTGTAGAATGGCTCTCTCCTGGAATTTGTCTGATGTTTTTCTGATTAGACTGGAATCATGGGTTTTCAGGAGGAAGACCAGAGAGGTAAAGTGCCATTTCCATTACATCATTGCATTCCACTAATACAGTTTATCACTGTTGATGTTGACCTTGGTTGACATAGTGTTTTTTAGGTTTCTCTGCTGTAAAGTCACTTCTCCTCTTCCCCCTTCCATAACATGGTTTGTTTGTTTTTTTTGGAATGAAGTCATTTTGCATAGGGCACACCTAGGAATACATAGTTATATTCCATCTCCTTGAGAAAGGAGTATTTGTGTAAATTATTTGGAATTCCTCATGGGAGATTTGTCTCTTCCCCATTTATTTATTTACTCAACCATTTATTTATATCAGTATAGACTCATGAATATTTTTGTTATGTTTGTTATAATACACTGCTTATTTTGTTCTCAATTTGTTCAAACTTTGGCCATTTTTCCAGCTTTCAGTTGGTTCTTGTTCTTCTTTGACATGATCTGTTACATAGCTATTAGGACGTTCCCCTAGATAGGTCTGAAGTAGACTTTATGTGGAAATATATACAAATGTTTTCTCATCTTCGTTTTCTAACATACTTTTCTTTTAAGTCTATTAGCTTACTAAATGATGATGTTTGAAGGTCTTATAACAATTATATTTATCTAACTTGATTTTTATCTATGGGAATGCAAAAAGTATAAAAAACCCTTTCTTCCCTCACTGGGAGCTGGGTTCTTTGGCCCTTAAGTAATCCTTTGGAGGATTCCTGATTGCTCCATCTGTAAATCTTGTGGGAACAAACAGCCTGGTATTTACTGTATTACATTAAAAATTTCCCTATCTGTTGTCTGCGATCTCTGCAAATTCAGCTGATGGTTACTAACTTGGGGCAATTGCTGAATGCTGTTATTTCTTTTTAAGTGAATAATGGAGAAATTACTGCTTTTCAAGCTTTCTTTTGTTATTGCAGGGTTAATCCAGTCTTAAGCAATTTTTGTTTGTTATATTTCTACCACAAACCAGAAGTAAAACCTTTTCATCTTATCTTCTGAAGTTTTGAAACCTAGCCTGGATGGCAAAAGAGATGTATTATAGTAAGAAATTATTATCTGCTGATTTGCCAAAATCTTGGTAATAAAGGAGTTTGCTTAGGTAACTTTAACCTATGCATCCATATCTTGGTACATTTCTAGAAAACACACAAACAGCAATTATGAAAGTTACTTGATGTTGTATGTTATGCATATGATGTATTATGTATTATGGTATTTTACAACTAATACAGTTTTAAGGTGAGCACTTTATTATTATCTCTCTGTACCTTTTTATTTTGTGTGTGTGTGTGTATTTACATTTGTGCTTCTACTCGGTAAAATTAGATCTGTTGTATTCCACATAAACAGATTAAATTTATGGAGTAATAGGGGCATCTGCCTTTGGCTCAGGTCATGATCCCGGGGTCCTGGGATTGACCCCCACATTAGGTTCCCTGCTGGGGGTGAAGCCTGCTTCTCCCTCTCTCACTCCCCCTGCTTCTGTTCCCTCTCTTGTTGTGTCTCTCTCTGTCAAATAAATAAATAAAATCTTAAAAAATAAAGTTATGGGGTAATAGATTGCATGTTCAAGTTTGTGTGTAAGTCTGTGTCTATACAAATAAAACCCATGTCTACATACATAAATTTACTGATATCACTTATGTAAAATAAAGCAAAAATTTTCAGTTCATCAAATTGTTTGGCTTTTCCTTTTCTCTCACTCTTACTCTCTCATACTCTTTCTCTTATTCTTTCACATTGTTCCTTTTTGGCTTGTTTGCATGATACCTAATCTCTAGTTTGATCTGATGTGGGGCTTGATTCTAGGACTCTGAGATCATGACCTGAGGTAAAAGGCAGACACTTTACTGACTGAGCTACCCAGGCACCCCTTGATGAAACACTTTGCTGTCCTATAACAATGACAGCATAGATGAGAAAGTCCTTTAGGAGACTTTCCTTTTAGGATAAAATCCTTTAGCACATTTTAAAGTTGATAAAGATGAAATTAGGAAGTAGATTCTTCGAGAAGTAGTGATTGTTAAGATTTACCAGATTGGTGTAGATGTCTTCACCTGGCTTTCAATGTTGGACACTGATTATATTAACAATATGTACTCAACACAGTAAGAGGTTTTGTATAAAATTGGAAGTTTTTTTTATGATTCAGATTATCTACTTATTTATCAAAATCTTGAGAATAAAAGATTCGGCTTAGGTAACTTTAACCTATGAATCTATTTCTTGATGCATTTTTAGCAAAAACAAAAACAGCAGTTATGAAAATTAGCAAATTCTGCTTATTGAATGTATCATGTATGTATTTTATGCATTTTAAGGTGAATGCTTCATTATTGTCTCTAATAAAAATAATAATACAAATAACATTAAAAATCCCCCAAGATCAGACTTTTGAGGGTTTTTTGGTTTTTTTTTTTTAATGGTTTCTCACTTCCTTTTGGGAGGAGCCACAGGAAGAACGGCCTATAAGGTTCACAATTTAAAATGAGGGTAATTGGAATCCACTAGAAGTTTTCAATGCCAAATCTAAGCCCTTTTGAGATTACATAGTCCATTTAACATAGCTTGATCTGTTGGTGTTTGTTCTGCTTCATGCTAAACTCCAGCCACACTGAATTATTTCACTTCTCAATTTGTGTCATGCTCTTGCCTACAAATTACTTCTCCCCTGATGTCTAGACTACCCTTCCCCATGTATCCTTCTTCCCTTTGTGTGGCTAACTCCTACTCACCATTCAGACTCTAGTTTAAATTTTTTCAGTGAAGCCTAGTCTGGTTAGGTTAGATAATTCTTTGCTATCTGCTTCTGAAAAATCCTGTATCTTTCGTATGAACGTTTTGTTAAAATTACTTATCTGCTATCTGTTCTATTCATTGTGTATGAAATCCACACGATGAGAGACTTTAAATGGTGGTAAGGCAAAGGAGTTTGAATCTTCAGAGGAGAATGTGGAAATGAAACTTGGGCAGAACTCTGAGGAAGAAGAGGACCTTTAATAGGGTCTGAGAAGAAATATAGATAGGGAGAAGTCACCTCGAGAGGGAAACATTTTTAGGAATGGTGAGTACTGGGTTGAATTTCCAGTTGGTTCCTGCTTATGTATTACTCATAAATATTTCATTAATGCTATTATGCTGCACACTTTTGTGGGGAAGTATATTGGGAATTAGAAGAGAGATGGAATGGGTTTTGTGTTCCACGTCACAGATAATGTTGACACATGGAAAGAATGGCAGCTGCAGGTACCCAAATAGTTGTAAGGAGCTAAATGACACAGGAAAAGCAGGTTGCAGTGTGAACCAGTAAGTGAGAAAATAGGAGAGAACTTCCTCACTCAACACTGTGGAGCTTTAAAAGAAAGTCGACTTAAAATACCCAAAAGCAATAGTAAATGAGTTGGGAGGTAGATAAGTGTGAATCAAAGTTCTAAGATTCATCTTTTTTTACTTGAAATGTAAAGTTAGGCATTGGTAAGTTGGATTTCATGAAATTATGGATTATTATTTTTCATCATGTGGTAAGTTTTCAGTCATTGTCACTTCAAATGTCTCTGACACTTTCCTCTCTCCTCCTCCTCTAAAAATCCAACTAGACATTAATAAGACCTTGTCCCCAAATCCTTCTTATCTCTTCATTACTTTTTCCTATTTACTACCTCTTTATCTCTCTGCTATGAATTCCAGATACAGTTCTTTGGTTTTAGTTCCCGGATCTCTGATTCTCTTTTCAGTTGTGTCTACTCTGTTATAAAATTCCTCCATTGAGTATTTTAGTCAAACTACTGTATTTTTAGAGTTTTGTTTGACTTTTTTACAAATATGCTTGGTCTTTAATCATATTCAAACTTCCTTCTCTCATATGTGTCAGTTTTACTCCTCAATGATCTAAGAAGTGCCTTGTAAGGAGTATCCACTTCCCTCTTCCACTGAGTGCTCAGCTGTGCTAAGCTGTACAAACACCTGGTTGGTTAATTAGAAATCTGAAGTTAGCCTTATTGGCAAAATGGAATACAATGGGGAGTTGAGAAAATTTCCATCATTCTCTGGAAGGGACTACAGTTTGTAACCCATCTCTGGAAAAGATAACTGTTTTTCTAGAGTTTTGTAATTTACATACAATATACAAAATGTAAGGGGAAGCATTTATGTTTATTTGTTTGTTTGTTAGATTTATTTATTTATTTTGAGAGAGAGTGAATGGGGGAGGGATAGAGGCAGACGGAGTGGAGTGTAGAGACCTACATAGGGTTTGATCTCATGATCCTGAGATCATGACCTGAGCTGAACTCAAGATTCAGACTCGTAACTGATTGAGCCACCCAGGACACCAAGCATTTATATTTTTTAACTCAAAATATTATTTTTAATGTAGAAATAGGTAAAATGATAACTTTTAAAACTGCCAAAGAAAGAGAAACACCTGATGACTTTGACAATAAGTTTTATTTTAAATATTTTATGATTACATTTATATTTCCATATATCAAAAATAGTAGGAAAAAATCTCTTTGGGAACGCATTTTAAAGTAGAAAAATAAAGTCAGTGTTTAAAAACACAATAATTTAAGTAAAATTATTTAGAATTCATTTATAAATAATAAATAGGTTTTATCTAGTAAGAAATTACTTTGTTAATATTGCCTGTTGAATTTTTGCTGTTTTGAGAAACAATTCTAACTCAGAGTTCTGATGATTCAACACAGCACATTATAACAAGGCTGCCCATGACAAGATAAGACTGGGAATATCAAAAGTAGGATTGCTAGTTCAATGAAAATTTCAGAGAAATAATGAAATACTAAAAAATTATTTTCTGAATTCAAAACAAATCGGGTGTCTTGTTTGTTTTTAATTTTGCTGAATCTGGCAACCTTGTTCAGAATAGTTCTCTAATAAAATATCATTTAGTATTAAAATAAATATAAATTCACTACCATCATTCTACTAGTATCAACAATGCTTCCTTTCCCATTTTTCCAAATTTATGCACACATATTCTTATATTTATTTCTTAAATAAATATATAAATAATAAATAAGCAAACAAGTTTCACTTGAACATAATTCAGACAACATGAGAAAAAGTTAAAGTGCTTCCACATGTCCTCACACTTCTGTGAGTTAGGATGGTGGCTGACACTTTTTCTCCAGTTGAGGAATAAAGAAGAAACCAAGGCAAAGTTTAACAGGGACTGGTGTATCCTGACCAGCAGGCTGGGGTGGAAAGTTGTAGCAACAACAAAATATTTCCAGGATTTCCAGCTAAATTTGAATTTACAGTAAACAATGAATAATATTTTTAACATAAGTATGCCTAGATATTGCATAAGACAACATATATGAGACATCAAAAAAAAAAAACCTATTCATTGTTTTACTTAATATTCAAATCTAACTGGACATACTGTATTTTATCTGACAACCTTACACCAGACCCACATGGAACATGAGTGCTGAAGTAGATTTATATGAAGTCTCATTGACATCTTTACTGAGGAATTCTTGGAAACCACAGAGAATGCTTGTTTGTTTCACGATTCCTGTTTCTCAGCCCTGAAAATAAATAAAATGGGAAAAAATTAATTAATAGTGTTCTAATAAGGAGGAAAGTATCATTTTTGAAAATATATTTATTAGGAAATTAATAGTCTTAGATATTCATGTATTAGAAATATCCTAATTTTCAACTATGAGTAGAGAGACAGGTAAGTTATCATCCAAACTAGGAAACTTCTGAGAATGAAAGGGAACCAGTTCCCTGGACAAACTGAGATGTATGGTCTTCCCAGTCATGAGTACAACAAATTCACTATTGCTATGGGTTTTTTTTGTTTGTTTGTTTTGTTTTGTTTTGTTTTTAATCAAAGACTCAGACCCCCAAGAAAGTAGACTTCCAGCAGCAACAGAAAATTTATAGGCTAACTTTTAGACAGTATGTCTCAGGGTAAATGAAGAATTAAAAAAAAAAAAAACAACAACCCACAACTTACCTCTTCAAAAATATCTGCACAATTCTCTGTACCCAGCTTTCCTTGGGGTCCAGGCACACCTCTTTTCCATTGACAAGCTTTACACTGAAATGAGAGAGATATGATTAAATCAGTACTTAGAAGATTTTAGGCATTCCTTTGCCCTTCAAGTTGTGGTTCCTGAAGTATGAGCATAAAATCTGAGTCCAACTCATTTTTAGTCACAAGGCATATTAAAATGTCATGGAGACAAAGAATTTTGTTGTTGTTGTTGTTCTGCTCACTACTGTATTCCTGAACCTAGAACTTTGCTGGATACTTCCACCTTCCCCAATTTTAGGTTTGCTGAAGTAACACATCTAATCACTTTTGAAAGTACTTACATGATTTCTGAGTTTTCACAATGTGGGCCACTGTCAATCACTCTCAGTTCTTTGATATATTTGGGATGAAAAGGCGTGGAGTGGGTTTTAATGCACTGGCATCGGAGTTCTGAACTCACTCTTGACAGAACTGCAGCTGTGGAAAAATAATAAAAACAAGGATTAATTTCATCCCAAACATGGATCTGCTGGCTACTCTCTCCTTAATTCCAATCTGATAATTTGGTGACAGTATGTTTGGTAAACAGCACTTCTTTAGTAAACTCATTCATAAAGGAGAAGGCTGGATATTCTCCTAGCCCCTAAGTTCAATTAAGAAAACCACAGCTGTCATTAATGACAGGATTGGTGGACTTCCTGCATAAAGACTTGGAGTTATCTTTGTGAAATGCTGACATCCTTATGGTACTTTTTCTTCTAGTTGATTGTGTAATCTTTCATGATACCACAATGCTACTTATAGTATGTAAACTAAGATTCAACAACAGAGAAGTTGCCTTCAGAAAGCATTAATAGAAATATATAAGTTGCACAAAGATGTCTCTTAGCAAAATCTGTAATGCTTAATGGAAAAGAAAAGAAGTATAAAAACAAACATTTCTAACTGTATTTCTTTCAAGGGAGAGATCCCAAGAAGGTTTACAATTTGTCAGGTTGTCTTTAAATCAAAGAGGAAAGCTTGTCAATAAAACATGTGGAATAAAGTTATGGAGTTACCTCACTTGATATTAATAAATAATATGGGTAATTGTGGTCTAGTAAGATATATTCTAGGGGTATCTGGATGTCCCAGTTGGTTAAGCATCTGACTCTTGGTTTTGGCTCAGGCCATAATCTCAGGGTCATGAGATCAAGCTCCGCATCTGACTCCTCACTCAGCGTGGAGTCTGCTTGAGACTCTCTCTCTCTCTCTATCTCTGCCTCTCCCCTATGCTCTAAATTACAGATTTATATTAATGCGTTTATATGTATGCATCCTATAAAGTATGAAAAATAGGAACAAGATGTCTTTCTAAGTATTGTAGAGATAAAACCTAAACAATTAAAGCTTCAATTTAATTTTAAGTTACTGCAAATATTATTTCCTTTAGTTGAATAAAGAAGATGTTCGTTATTAAAGCATTAAGGGAAATCTTGCTATCTGAGGATCACATTTAGACACAGGACAATTCTGTAGACCAGAAAAGTCTGCTTACCTTCACACAGAACTGCAGAAAGCAGGAAAACTGCCAAGAGAGCAACAGCCAGCTTGGAAGTCATGTTGATGCAAGGTGCCTTCGGTCTGGTTTCTTTCTGGCTCTTGTCCCAGAGGCTTGTGAGCTCTGCTGTCCCAAGGGGCTTCTATTGGTTGGAGAGCTTCTGTGGCTTTTTATATTATTCAGAGCAGCAGAGAATATGCACTCTCATTCTTGCATTATGTCAGAGGAAATTCCACAATATGCAACCATCCGCTTGCCCTTTGAGAGCAGACCTGAGTCATCAGACTCTAATTTGTCTCATCAAATTTTTGGCAGGATTGAAGTTCTATTGGATCTTTAACAGAATTTATTTTATTTAAAAACATATTTGTTTTAAAGCACATTTAAAAATCATTGTTAAATATTCAAGCTTCTTTGATACATTATTATCAGTTGTAATTTTTTATGTATAAATAAATTTATTGTTGTACTATCTGGCATTTGTTAAAGTAAGGTCATTTATGATTACTCTTTAAGGGCATGGTCATTTCTTTAGGTAACTTACATGTGCTTCAATGACAGAGAAGGTAATCTTGCCAACCACTTTTACTGAAGACATAATTTTGAGAAGTCCTTTTCTGAGCATTTTGGAAAGTTTCCAGGAACTATTGCTGTTCCCAAGGAGCATATTACAACTCTTCAAAAGATTTGGCTTTCTAATGTATGTTTGAAAGAATGAAAAGACACATCTTTCAGTTCCAGAAATATTTATCAAGTAAATTCTGAGTCATGTGGGGATCTAAAGATAGATAAGATTAGATACATGTTTTCAAAGAGTTTGGTCCATCAGAAGAAGAAAGCAATATAAGGACTTCACTATATTACAGAACAGATAAGTGGTATTGATATGTTAATCCCAACAAGGGCATAAAGACAGAATATTCCATAAGCAGTGTGAGCAGGATATTGAAGGAAGAGAAGGTAGAGAAAAACAGTACATTCTATATAAAGACATGGTTCAAGGACAGGTGAATGAAGATATGTCTGTGCTCTAGGAAGTAGTTCCCTGGGGTTACTTAGTTGGGGTGGGATGGGGTGGTAGCTAATTATACTTAGTGGATAAAGGCATCTAAGTTCAAACCCTGCTTCAGCCGCTTAATTTTGTATGACTTTTAAACTTTCTGAGTTCGGTTTCTGTATCTACAAAGTGGATTTAATAACACTCCCATCTCATAAAGTTAATATATATAAACTTCCTGCTTAATTTTTAAATTGGTAAATTCCCACCTATTCCAAATGTTATGACTTATAGTTATCATTTTTATCAGGTTACCAATTTCCATACTGCAAGGATATTCAACCAACAATTATTTCCTAAAAATATCATTTGCCTTAGAGGCATTCTTGATAAAAGATCAGTTTCTGAAATACCAGTTAAGCCAGCTTACAGCATGTAATGTAACAATATAACAAAATAGAAACATCATCAGTTCCAGTTATGGTTTGCTAAAATTAAAGCTCCAAATATATGACTGCATTAGCATCCGAGTTGCCCTTTCAAATGTAAATCTGGAATATGGAGAATCTTAAAATCTAAAGAATTCCAGAACTCTTGAGGAAGTAACTTGCTTAAACATTGATGTAAGATTTATTTTTTTAAGATTTTATTATTTATTTGCTTATTTGACAGAGAGAGAGAGAGTGTGTGCACAAACAGGGGAGGCAGGAAGGGAGAAGCAGGCTCCCCACTGAGCAGGAACCTGCTGTGGGGCTCCCTCCCAGGACCCTGAAATCATGACCTGAGCCAAAGGCAAATGCTTAATGGACTGAGCCACTCAGGTGCCCTGATAGAAGATTTAAATTAAATTCTTTGACAAAAAATGACTGAAAATTAAAGAAATAGTAATAATGTTTCAGAATTTAAGCATTTGTGGTTTGGGGAAAAAAAACTTCCCTTGCTGAAAGATTTGTTTGGTGACTTCAGCGTAACTGCTTAAATATCATTTCAATTTTCTTGATGTTAGTGACAGTGTGTGTATTAATTGATCTTCACAGCAATGTCATAGTAATATTTCTGATTTTACAGATGAGGAAACTTAACAATGTCTCCAAGTTCATATACCTAAGTAGCAGTGTCAATGGTTCAAAAACCATTGAACCTTTGAACCATTGTTAGCCCCGGTCGAAAAGCACATTCACAAAGGGGAGTTGAAAGAACTTTTCTCGAGTTCACTAAACCATCTTTTTATGACTCAATGAAGTTTCTTACTTTATCCCTTGGTCTTCAGAGATTAGGCTGTTTTTTGTTTTTTTTTTTCTTTACCCAGATAAAAGGCACCAAGAGAAGGACTAAAACTCTGTCCACATCTGGGCAAGTACACAGTTCATAAATAATTCAGTTGATTCAGCAATTTTCTTATTTCCCAGGAGGCTGGCTAAAGCAGTGAGCTTGTCCACACAAGTGTGTGGGGAGGGAAATGTCATGATTGTTTTTGAAAGAGGTTATCCAATTTCTTAGTATAGACATACATTGTTTCATTTTGCTTTGCTTTTTTGCTCTTTACAGAGACTGTGTTTTTTATAAATGGTTTGTGGCAACCCTTTGATGAGCAAGTCTATAGCTTGTCTAACAACATTTGCTCACTTTGCATCTCTGTGTCACATTTTGGTAATTCTTACAATATTTAAATGTTTTCATTATTATTATGTTTACTATGGTGGTCTGCGATCTGTCGTCTTTGATGTCACTACTGTAATTGTTTTGGAACGCCGCAAACCACACTCATGGAGGATGACAAAGTTAATCCATAAATGTATGTATTCTGACTGCTATACCCACCAGCTGTTCCCCACCTTTCTCTCTCTTCTCAGGCTTTCTGTTCTCTGAGACACGGCAATATTGAAATTAGGCTAATTAATAATACTACCATGGCCTCTAAATTTTCGAGTGAAAAGAAGGTTGCATGTCTTTCATTTTAAATCAAAAGCTAGAATGATTAAGATTAGTGAGGAAGACATGTCAAAAGCCAAGATAGGCCTAAAGCTAGGCCTTTTATGCTAAACAGTTAGCCAAGTTGTAAACACAAAGTAAAGCTTCTTGAAGATATTTAGAAGTGCTACTTCTAAGTATGTATGGCTGATATGGAGAGAATTTGAGTGGTCTGGATAGAAGATCAAACCAGTTACATGATTCACTTAAGCCAAAGGATAATCCGAAGCAAGACCTTAACTCTCTTCCATTCTGTGAAGGCTGAGAAAAGTGAGTCAACTTCAGAAGAAAAGTTTGAAGCTAGCAGTGGTTAGTTTGTGAAATTGGAGGAAAGAAGTCATGTCCACAACATCAAAGTAGGTGCAAGAAGAAGCAGCCCGTGTTGTTGAGGAAGCAGTAGCAAGTGATCCAGAAGATCTAGCTAAGATCATTCATGAACGTGGCTACACTAAGTAACAGATTTTCAGTGTAGACAAAGAGTCTTCTATGGGAAGAGATGCCATCTAGGGCTTTCATAGCTAGAGAGGAAAAGCCATTGCCTGGCTTCAAAGCTTCAACACAGGCTGACTCTCTCACTAGGGGCTAAAGCCGCTGATGACCTTAAGTTGAAGACAATGCTTATTCACCATCTCAAAAAGCATAGGGTTTTTAAGAATTATGCAACATCTACTCTGCCTGTGGTCTGTGAATGGAAAAACAAAGCCTGGATGACAGCGGTTACAGAATGTTTCAAGTCCACTATCTATACTGCTCAGGAAAAAAAAAAAAAATTCCTATCAAAAAAATTACTGCTCATTGACAATGAACCTGGTCCCCCAAAAATCTTTGATGGAGATATACAATGAAATAAATGTTGTTTGCCCGCCAGCTTAACATAACACAGCATCGATTCTGCAGCCAAGGATTAATTTCAACTTTCAAGGCCTATTACTCAGGAAATACATTTCATAAGGCTCTAGTTGCCATAGATAGTGATTCCTCTGATGGATCTGGGCAAAGTAAATTCAAAAAACTTTCTGGAAAGGATTTATCATTTTAGATGCCATGAACATTCATGATTAATGGGAAGAGGTCAAATATGAATATTCACAGAAGTTCGGAAGAAGATGAATCCAACCATTATGGATGACTTGGAGGAGTTAAGACTTCGGTGGAGGCAGGAACAGCGGATGTAGTGGAAAGAGCAAGAGAACGAGAATCAGAAGCGGAGTCTGAAGATGTGATTGAGTTCCTGCAATTTCACTGATAAAACTTGAATGGATGAAGAGTTGTTTCTAATGCACAAGCAAAGAACATGGTTTCTTGAGATGGAATCCACTGCTGGTGAAGATGCTGTGGCAATTGTTGATATAACAACAAATGATTTAGAATGTTACATCAACTTAGCTGATAGCAGCATCAGGGTTTGAGAAGAACGACTCCAGTGCTGAAAGAAGTTCAACTATGGGTAAAATGCAATCAAACAGCATTGCATGCTACAGAAACTGTTCATGAAAGAGGCAATCAATGTGGCAAACTTCATTACTGTCTTATTTAAAGAGACTGCTACAAACATCCCAGTCTTCAGCATCCACCACTCTGACCACTCCGCAGTTCAGCATCAAGTCAAGACCCTCCATCAACAAAAGTATTGTAATCACTGAAAGTTCTGATAATAGTTAGCATTTTTTAGCAATAAATTATTTTTAATTAAGGTATGTACATTTTTCTTTAGACATAATGCTATTACACACTGCCGCTAATATCTGAGCTACTTTCCTAATCCTGGTAGTAAAGTCTTAACTAGCACTTGGAATTTTTTCTCTCTTTGAGGAAACTGTTTCAGCTCAGCAGCCCCCAACTTTAGGAGAACCATGGACAAATGCTAAACATGTATCAGGGAATTACAATGTCATTAACATGAAATCATAAATATAAAATATCTACCCCCTGAAATTTTAGTTAGCAAAACTCAGAGTTAGCTCAGAGACGTAAAACACGGTTCCTACTTCTACAGATAACAAACATGTATATTTACTTCATTAATAGCATAACTTCTTTGCTCTAATGTGTCAAGGACATTTTGGTTCCATTTCCAAGTTCAAATATCCAGTATATGATTTGCAAAAATGCCAAGTAAAGTTGCTGCTAAAAAGTATTCTTTCTACCTTGAAAGAAAAGGCCTTTTCCAGTCTTGGCAAGTTGGAAGATCAAACAGCTAAAGGTACTGGT